TGTTGATGTTGAGCTGAGCTCCTTTTAGCCTCAGCACCGTCCCACGTCCTGATGAAATCTTGTGCAAAGCTGTTTATATTGAAGGGCTTTTAGAGCTTCCCTTCATAATTCATGTGCAATATCAAAATACAGTTTATTCCATTCCCCACCACAGGGTCAGAAGTGATCTAGACCAGTGGTTCTCAAACTGTGCAAAATTCATATTTTTACATTTACATTTTCAGTTGAATAAATCTGAAACATATGCACAATCATACAACAATACAATACAATTATACAATATACAATTATACATGGTGGAAAGCTCAGAAAGCTCAATGTTTTCTCAGGTGGTACAGAGTATAAAAAGTTTGAGAACCACTGGTCTAGATCATACATTTGCTGGATTATTAATCATATGGAACAGTAAATAAGGAGGAAAAGCGAAGTAATGTGTGAATTTAGTATACAGATGACGAATACACGGATAAATATAATATAAGATTTTAAAAAAGTTGTTGTTCACATTTGTCTGGTCATTGATTCAGATGTCGACCATAGTGAGTTCTCGTTGAAAGTCTGTGCTCATCGTCTCACATGTTTTTTCTCTAATTGTGATGAATTACAAAGCCTTTAATCACATGATTTTTTTATCACCTCCCACTTCTATGAAAAACACAAATGCACAAAGCATTTTTGGTACCGTTTTTGCTCTCTCAGGTATTAACTACGGTCCAGTGATCGCCGGAGTCATCGGGGCCCAAAAACCTCAGTATGACATTTGGGGAAACACAGTGAATGTAGCCAGTAGAATGGAGAGCACCGGAGTGCTGGGCAAAATACAGGTAGGAAAATAATATCATCACAGCTACTGTGATTAGAACCTGAATTTAATTCAATGATAAGTGAAAATGTGTCTGTAACTCCTGAAGCAAAACATCTTTAAAGCTCACAGCAAACACTTCAGTGGTTTGGACGATGACTAAGCCTTATATGTAAATTTTCTTTTTGCGTCTCTACTTTTCTATGACGCAGTTTTTCTTTTGTGTCTGAATCTGTGCCTCTCCAACCAGCACTGCTGCTGCTTTCAAATGCAGACATTTAAAATTTCACCACAGATATTTAAAAAGAAAAGAAAAGAAACAAACACTGCTCGTGCTGCTCAGGGCAGTGAGGATGTGTCATGTCCTTCTCAAACTGCATCGGCTGTGATTGGAGAGTGTGTTTACCTGCGTGGCATGTTGCTATGAGAGGCGTTCAGTGTGAAATACACTTCACTGCAGAGGGACTGTGAACAGAGTCGTCTGCTGAGCAGCTCTGACAAACACAGCCCCAGACTGCTGGAGGTCAGAGCGTCTGAGTTTCTTCTACTTCCCTTTGTTCATCAGCACCATTAAATCTTTAATTATAAGACTCTGTGCAATGACTGTGATGTGTGAGGTGAATCAGAAGTCGACTGATTAATCTGTCAGCCAGTGACAAGGGCTGGCAATTAAAAAGGATCGCTTAATTTGTGACCGACTGCTGACGCACACTAAAAAAAAAAAATTTCAATTTTTGAAAGTCAGAATGGTTCAACATCAAATTCCAAATAATCTATTTAGTTGTTTAATAAGGTGAAACCAAAACCTAGAAATGTATGATTTTATTAATAAAAATTAGAACTTTCTTGCTCAAATATTACCATAATTTGTTTTTACATTACAGTCAACAAATGTCAAACTTAGCCTGACATTTGTGTTTAAAATTTCCTTTTTTTAATTGATCTTATGTAATATTTTAAATGTCTGAGAGGCTGAATTTGAGTTTTTTTTTATTGTGTAACCCATAATCATCACAAAATAAAAGTTAAATTATTTCTCCCTATTTATTTAATGAATCTGTTTAAAGGATGAGTTTCATTTTCTGAAATAAACTTTTTCCTGATATTCCTGTTTTTTGAGCTGTGCCTTAAATAAGGTCTTTAAGTGAATGCAAAACAGACTGTTGTTTAGTTTGCAACAAAAATTCTAATTCAGTCCAGAAATTGTTTAATTATAGAGAAATAAAAAGTCAGAGGCTAGTGTCTGGCATTAAATAGGTTTAAAGTAAAGTTAAAGTAAAGTGCTTGAATTATACCAGGGTAGAAGTGCTTCAATGCAGTACTGTATACTGTAAAGCATTAACATTAGCATTAGATATAATAAAGAATGTGACGTCAGCAACTGTGGTTGAACCGTATCTATTTTTGAAAACAGTGTGTCTGTGTCTGTGTGATAAATATTCGGTCAGCAGTTTTTTTGTTTTTTTTTTTCATTCCTGGAATTGATCTGAGCCCTGAATGTTTCTGCCAGCAGAAAATCTAATCCAGTCACGACCGAATAGATCTTTATCCTTCTGCCTTCCGCTGCAGGTGACGGAGGAGACGAGTGGAATCCTCCAGAACCTGGGCTACATGTGCTCCTGTCGAGGCATCATTAACGTCAAGGGCAAAGGGGAACTAAAGACCTACTTTGTGCACACAGAGATGACCCGCTCACTGTCCCAGGGGAACGTCATGCCGTGAGACTCGACGTTGGATTTACACCGTGCAAAAGCACAGACTCTAATTTAAGACGGACTTTTGACTGGGATCATCTCAGTGGTGTGGTGATGGGAACAGGGCACAGTGGACTCCCATCTACACCACCAGGGAAGTATGATTTAATGTTCAAGTGAAACTTACTTCAGTGCCACAACTGTAGTCGACATTTCACTCGTGTAGCATGTACAGCAGGTAGACATCCAACCCCTGGAATTATGAAGTCCAAAGTTTTCATTTATGCCTTGGTTTGGTGAGTTTTTGGCACCACTTTACCATAAATGCCTCTTTTTTGTCAGACAGATGCATCAAAGTTACATTCTGTTAATTTGACAGGACACGGCTAAAAAAATGCACACAGTTAAGAGAAGAGAAGAGAGTGGGGACCAACGTCCCACAGATCAACTATCTAGAACAGGGCTCTCAAACTCAAATCAGATGACGCCCCCTGAGGGCCACATCAGTGAAGTTTAAAAAAAAGAAAAAAAGAAAAGAAATAAAAATTGCAACAAAGCATTTTGCTAATTTAAAAAAAAGAATAATAAAAAATAATTACCTCATCTAAATTTTAATTCATACCAGTCATGGGCCAGATGTGTGGGAGTTTGTGGGCAAAAAGTGTCCCCCGAACCAGGAGTATGAGATCCCTGATCTAGAGTTAGTGTCGATACATACAGAGGGGAAATTCTATTAATGACATACTCAAAGTACAGACGTAGAATCATGATTTAATGTTAACATAGACACAAACAGTTACATCACTGGAAAACTGCAAGGTCAGAGGTGCAAAGGTGAAAGTGATGTAAAAGAGAAAAGGACCACAGGGCGAGGGTGCAGTTGTCATGCTTGGTGGAAACAGCAAATCTTGGATGTATTTTGCAGCTGTGCTCAGAGCATAAAAGAAGAATCCATGAATATGTAATGATATTCATTTGGGCCAAGGTTTCACACAGCTGTCTGCTCTTTAATCATCTCATCTCCACTGGCTGTTTATACAAAACTAAAAATAAGTATTTTAGGCTCAGGTCAGCTGAGTCAGTGCAGTGTTTACTGCCATTCAGAAAGAATGAGTGAATCATATCTGTCGTCCGCACTCTTTTTAAAGCAGGGTTAAAGCGAAGCAAATGGAAAAACAGAGAGATTTGATGATTTCTGTGCAGAGGCGTCTGAGCCTGGTCTGTGTACAGGGTAACTACACACTGTCTATGGTGGTTTTGTAAGAAAAGAAAATAGTCCAAAAAAGTGTTTTGATGTTTTGATGCCATTGTTTTTTTTGTTTTGTTTTTTTGTAAAAAGAAAAAAGAAAAACTCATTAAAAATTTCTATGTATTTCAATTGAGTGCTGTTCTATTATTTACACAACAAACGCACAAATGACTCAACAACACTGTTAAACAATTAATCCCCAATCTATTATTATACCTTTGTATCTAAAAATATAATTTAAGTAGAACATTTTCTAAATTTACTTGAACATGGGAGTTGAAATATATTTGCTTTATGTAAATATAATAAAATATCCAAATATTTTCTTAACATTAGAAATGTTTCACTATAAAGAGCGGTGAACAGAGATGTTTGTTTCTCTGTTCGTGCGTCTGTGTCTCTGTAACCAAAGCAAAAATGATGTAACGTTTATAAATAGCAAAGTAACTTTTTATGTTCAGAATTTCTCTGATGAAGTTGCTTCTGCTTGGAATAAACTTAAAAGAAAAATATTTATGATAATTACAGAAACCTCTCTCTCTCCTCTCTCTCCCCCATGGGGTATGTTGCAGTAGTCGAGCCCTTGAGATATTACACGGAATCCTTTTAAGTGAGTGAGAATTTGACCTGTGCTCTGATTAAGCATGTTTCTACTTTTCAACTTTGTGGTTTCAGCCTCAAATACGTTATGAAAGCAGAGCTGTAACTGCACTGTGTGAAGAAACCTGTGTAGAACAGAGTTGGCTAATTAAATGAAGGAGTTGTTATTTACTAATTAGGTGAGGAAATCCAAATATGGGCAAAAGCCTTTGGTGGTCTTTGACCCCAGACTGAAGCAGATCAGAAGCTAAATTTAGAGTTTAGGTCTTTGACCCCAGACTGAGGCAGATCAGAAGCTAAATTTAGAGTTTAATTTTTTTTTCTAAATATATATGATTCTTTATGAATGAAAAGAATTATCAAAATAAATGTCTAACCAGCCAAATATCAGAAACTCTGCTGACCTCTTATGGGGACACAGACCCTATGTTGAGGACATCATTATCCACCACAACCATCCACACCACATATTTCTTTCTTTCTTTTTTTCTTTTTTAAGGTGTTTCATCAAAAGCTAATTTGTGGCCAGTGGAAGTGGCTGACAACGTGATGGAGTGTTCCTCACTAGCCCTCCATCAGCCCATAATAAAGTCTCCTCACAGATAATAGAAACAGACATGGAACGAATCTCTCCAAAGGAAGTCATAATTAAGGGGACGGGGGATTTTTTGCACACGCACTCAGACAACGCTGCTCCATTCATGGCAATCAAAGCAAAAAAAACCAAAAAAAAAAACAACCGCCTTAACGCACATCTGTACACAGCAGGCGGCCATTGTGTGAAAAACAGATGGGCGGAGTCACGGTGCGAACCACTTCATGTGTAGCATTAATTCACTTCACGTCATGTTAGTTTGAGGTTGTAGGTCTCCCCACTGACTTCAGGGTCTTATCCCAACATTGTTGCACACACATACACACACACAAACACACACACACACATACAGCAGCCATGAATCTCTTTGCAGACAAAATAAATAGCACTTAGTCTGTTTGACATTTAAATGTTACATCCATTCATTCTGGGCCACTGTGTGGGAAGCATCCGTTGAACAGGAGAAAAGGAGCCAGACAAGGAGACTGACAGAATCTCAAGAGACTTAACCTCTCAAAGCTCAGGCTCCCCCCATCGTCCGCCCACACAGGTACTTTCTAATTAGACCTTTCTCAGGGCGACGTCAACGTGAACTACTGACGGTTTTAAAAATAGACACCAACCATTCAGTTGTAAAATTAAATCCTTTGCAGTTAGCTCATTGATGTTCACTGAGCCAGAACGTCTCAGATGTCATCCGCAACATCTTCAGGTTACAACAGTTCCATGTATTGACTTATCATCTATTTTCCTCTCTTCATTATAGATGGTCTGAAGACAGTGACTGTGGTGAGGATCTAAATAATTCTAGTGTAAATCAAACTTGTGTTAATTCAGTTTCTGTGTTCAACATGTGTTTGGTTGCTTACACCAGGCTGACTGAGATGAAACGTTCGCAATTCAAGCAACTGTGACTCAGAGAGAAGCGACTGTTGTCCACACAGCTCAGACGTCAGCGGTTCATAATCCTTTAGCTCGAGCAAAGAAACCAACATTAAATACACTACATATTTATATAGATAGATAGATAGATGAGTATATACATACATATACTATATATACACATATATATATCTATAATATAGATATATATATATATAATAAAATATATAAGGCAACGTGTATCTTTTCAATTGGATAAAAGCTTTAAAAACCTTGAATAGTAATGATGACAGTTAAAGAAAATCTCATTTTATTAAACCAACACTGAATATTAAACAGGAATTTGTTGTTAACTGATAAATTGAGGACATCCATTTACCCGAGCCTTCCTGTTGATTTTACCCATGTGCAGCCCACGGCCTTGTGACTGAAGGATTCAGTATTGTTACGGGAAGACTGTTGGTTTTGACTGACAGCTCCACCTTAATGTTTTTGTGACATCCTGCATCTCTGTCTGCCCGAGCTTGTTAAGCCACTGATGTGGGCAGTACAAAATGACAGACGTGACATTTGTTCGGCCACAAAAATCAATCGTGATATTAGGACTCTAATAAAAGTACAATAACAAGAGAGGTAGAAAAGTGCCCCTCCATTGACTGTGCCGTGTTGGGAGATGAATTACTTACAGAAAAGAGGGAAAATTAATATATCTCGGAAGCAGGAGCAGAATGAATCATAAATTAAGTGCTGCTGCTGTAGCTCTTCTAGGGGTTTTAGGCCCATTTAGAGGAAGACAACAAATGAAATATGACCTCAGAACTGAAGAGCTGAAAATATTTCCAGAGCTGAAAACATTTCCACGAGAAAAATGCAAAAGCTTGCCACCAAAACCTGCTCACTGTCCAAGAAACTCGCTGCATTTACTTTAAACACAGGCAACAGATGAATATCAAAAAGTTCTCTTTTCATATAAGAAGGAATTAATCAAAATTGAGACAAACCAATAGCAAAAAAAAAAATGTACTTGCTTCTTTTTGTACCTGCAAGAAAATCCCAAACTTAATCTAATATAAGAAATCTTCTAATAATAATAATACTCACATTATTATTAACAAACAAAAATCACTACAATACTTTTTGACTTCAGTTTTGATTGTAACGTGTTTGTTGTTGAATTTATTCAGCCCTTAATAACAAAATTAAAACTCCTTCACTTGTTTGAACATTTGAAATATATTTGTTTCTTTTTTTATTAATAACTGCAAATCAATTTTTGGAATTTGCTGTAATTACGTCTCTTTGTGGCTGCGGCGTACTGTAAGTTCGACTGTGCCCGTATGTTCATCCTCTCCCTCTGAAAGCCATCTGCTGTGGATGGATGAGCAGGTGTGGGTTTCCTGATAGTGTGTGTGTGTGTGTGTGTGTGTGTACAGTACATGTCTCAGCCCTGTCAGTTGGCTCCGTGGGCTGACGAAGCCTGTCATCCTGCAATCACAGCCGTCCTTCAAAGTTCTACTCCTGAACCCGTCTGTTTCACTCAAACAAGTCTGTGAACCAGAACCCCAGAGCGCTGTAGGCCTGAAAAACAACAGCAACAACAACAACAACGATACAAGTGGATCAGAGGTGGAGGATCAGAGGGGGAGGAGGAGAGGGAAATATGGACGAGGAAAAATAAAGACACGGCTTACGACCGCGTAGGGGAAAATAATTTCTGTATATCAGCCTGGCAGGCGTGGCAGTATAAATTATTCTAACAATGCTGGAGCATGGCTTGAATGCCAAACCAGTGGTTCCCACGTACAGTACCGTGAGGCCGAGTGCATTTCCTTATCACAGAAATGGACCTGTGCAGTAAAGCACATCAAATTTCCGATGATAGTGCACTCGCCTGAGGCGCGTGACATTTTTGGAATTGACAAAGCAATTCTTTTCGAAAATACGCACAGCAGTGAGATGTTGCCTTCACAGTCGAAGCAGGTGATTTGAAAACGGTGATTTATTCTCAAGGGCAAAGACATTCCACCGGCTTAAAGATATAAAAGGTATGAGTAGGTGAGACTGAACTGTGATATTTTCATCACACCATGAGCCTCCAATAGACATAATAGAACTAATATTCATTAGCACATATGTCGTCTTGACATCATACCAACTTAACATAGGTGTGAAGGTGTGAAATACTACACCGTCTTTAGTAATACCTTAGTAAAAAATATATATATGTGTGTGTGTCGGTTTCTGTGTGTGTGTGGGAATTGTGTAATTGTAATATACTGTATAGGTTAATTCATAAAAAGTGAGTATGTATGCTGTCAGGATGGCCGAGCAATCTAAGGCACTGTGTTCAGGTCGCCGTCTCCCCCAGAGTCGTGGGTTCAAATCCCACTTCTGACAAAAGTTTTACATTTGCAAAATGTGAAATTGTGATGGTTTAGTGCTTAAGGAAGTGGACTTGGGTCCGGAAGGCTTCAAGTTTGAGTCCACCAGCTGCCAAGTTACCACTGAGGTGCTCTGAGCATGGCACCGTCCCCGTACGCTTAAAGCTGCCCACTGTTCACTTTGGTGATGGGTTAAAAGCAGAGGTCACATTTGGTTGTATGCAGTGATGTGCTGTGTCACAATGACAAGTACTTCTCTTTCCTTCCTTCATGTATATATGCACATAAACATGGACGCTTGTTGTATATATTTACATTCATATTTATATTTTAGGCTTATATGATCCAAACGGGCTAATGTCTGGTTGGCTCTCTGATGAATCTATTGATTTTTCTGTTTTAAGTACTTTACAAATCCTGTTTTTATCAATTTGTTTAATTAACTTATTTCCATGGTTGCCCTGTTATCAGTGCGTTGCCTTTATGCTGTACTGTAAAAACCAATGATCCGGCAGCATGATGACACTTAAAATGGTATTTTTCCATTACAAGCGTCACGCCTTGACTCAGAAGTCACATCTTCACCTCACAGTTTTCTTCTGAGATAAAAAAAAAAGAGGAATGAAAACTAAAAAAAAATATATCATCACTCACAAGATCAAGTTCACACTCTGGGTATTTTTAGTCTTCTCCTCTCACTCTATCACCGTCTTCCATCACCTCTCACACACAACCCACACCACTGACTCCAGCACACCCGACACCCTGCATGTCACTGGGCAGGACTGGACTTTAACCTGCTGCTTCAGTTTGTTAATCAAAATTGTAACTATAAAAGTTAATTATTGGCAATTCTGTTTTAATTTACTTTACTTTTTTCTATTTAAAATGTTTTTTTAATTAATTTATTATCAGGTATAATATATATTTGTCACAATCTGACAGAAAACATGTGCAAAGTCTTTCTGGTCCTCTTTTCAAAACATATGTCCAGATATTTGTAGAACCAACTGTCAGACTGGTGGAAGTGTCAACAGCCGAGTGTCACCAGCTGCTTCTATTTTACTTCCAATGCAGGATTCTAACCAAAGTGTCCCCTCTCATCAGCACATAAACATGGACGCTTGTTGTATATATTTACATTCATATTTATATTTTAGGCTTATATGATCCAAACGGGCTAATGTCTGGTTGGCTCTCTGATGAATCTATTGATTTTTCTGTTTTAAGTACTTTACAAATCCTGTTTTTATCAATTTGTTTAATTAACTTATTTCCATGGTTGCCCTGTTATCAGTGCGTTGCCTTTATGCTGTACTGTAAAAACCAATGATCCGGCAGCATGATGACACTTAAAATGGTATTTTTCCATTACAAGCGTCACGCCTTGACTCAGAAGTCACATCTTCACCTCACAGTTTTCTTCTGAGATAAAAAAAAAAGAGGAATGAAAACTAAAAAAAAATATATCATCACTCACAAGATCAAGTTCACACTCTGGGTATTTTTAGTCTTCTCCTCTCACTCTATCACCGTCTTCCATCACCTCTCACACACAACCCACACCACTGACTCCAGCACACCCGACACCCTGCATGTCACTGGGCAGGACTGGACTTTAACCTGCTGCTTCAGTTTGTTAATCAAAATTGTAACTATAAAAGTTAATTATTGGCAATTCTGTTTTAATTTACTTTACTTTTTTCTATTTAAAATGTTTTTTTAATTAATTTATTATCAGGTATAATATATATTTGTCACAATCTGACAGAAAACATGTGCAAAGTCTTTCTGGTCCTCTTTTCAAAACATATGTCCAGATATTTGTAGAACCAACTGTCAGACTGGTGGAAGTGTCAACAGCCGAGTGTCACCAGCTGCTTCTATTTTACTTCCAATGCAGGATTCTAACCAAAGTGTCCCCTCTCATCAACTGGTTTATAATTACTGCTGTAAAAAGACCTAAATTTAGACAAAACTCTTAATTAATTTTTTGTTCTTTCTGGCAAAAGATGTTGCAGTTCAAAGTGGTGGACAAAAATGAAGATATTGCAGTTCAAAGTGGTGGACAAAAATGTTTTTTTTTAAATGCTATTGCTTTAATACAGTACAAGTTTCATATAAATATGTATAATTCTAGATAAAAAGTAGAAACCTTCCCACATTTTTTTTCATGATTTTCTTTCTAGATAAGGGCTGTTCTGGAAGATTGCTGTATAGGCAGGTAGAATGGGAAATGGTTTCAATATTTAAAACTGGATATAAAGGGAGCATCCATTCACAGTTTAATATTAAACAGATTCAGGGAGTTAGGAGCCACTCGGTGTAGGATCTAAACAACAGACTTCTCGTCAACCTGCTTGTCATTGCGGACGTTTACACAAATATAAAAACCTATCCGCTAAGTCGGCAGTCCAACTACTAATGGCGCTGTGTAGCTGTGCTCGCTTTAACAACATCCTGCACAGGAAGTTGGACCGTCTGTCACTGCAGTGTAAATAATGGCATAGGGTTTCAAAGTGATCAATACACTGGTGTAAGCTAATACCGCAACACCAATGTGTTGTATGCAGTTTCACTTCACTGAGTGGATCTCGTCCAACACATCCGTCACTACTGATGCAATGGTCTGAAACTGGCTCGGTGCAAAGAGCATGATGACAGATAATAGTGTGTTTCAGCAAATTTGTGCAAAAGCTGTTTTATTATTTTATTTCTCATCAGATTCTTACAGTGCATACTTCTTTGTTTTGGTACAGAGCATTATATCTGCATCAAAAAGACCACTGAAAGTTGACAGATGATGTGCAGTGCGGAAAAGATTGTCTCTTTCTTAGGTCAACAGCTGCAGTTCACATTCTGGTTATGTCTGTAGTCCAGCAATTAAATATTTAACAATTATGACATGGCTCATCCCACTCACCACTCTTCTAACACACAAAAACGGGTGTAGCTGAACACTAGCAACTGTCTGTATTCTTCTATAATGGCTTATATAAAGAGAAACCACATGTATCTTAATATGTCCACCTACACGCTGTTTTCATATAAATTCTGGTTGAGAGGCACTTATACAGTAGGGTTCTCGCCAGAATGTGGTAAATGTTGCAGAGCACACACGAACCTACACACAGACTACGGGTGTTTGAGGGCTACCATGGCTACTCTACTAGTCCATCTGTCTCCATATCTGACACCACCTCCTCAGCTGATGTTGTCACTCCTGTTGCACTTTCGCTGTGAATTGATCAGTTATTATACTATTCAGCACCAAAATGTTGATTTACTACTTTACTCAACAGATCATAATCAAGGTTGATTTAAAAACGCAGAATTTTTCATGGAAATGTTTATTTTATTAGAGCAGTATAGGTGTGATTTATTCATTTATTCTGTGCCATTTGTATCGCAAAGTTAACACTTCCTATGACCCGTGAAGGTAGCATGATGGTCAGCGCCTGTCTTCGCTGCGAGCGGAGTGATGCCATTGGCCGCAGCAGGACCAATGACAATCTGTTTCCTCTTACTAATTATTGACAATGACCATCATGGCGACCTCCACGTGTTGACATTTGAGTTATTTTATTTTACGTTAAATCCGTGATTAAAAGACGCCCACTAGAAGGGAACAGATTATTATAACTCAACCTGACCGAAGGGTCAAGTTCCAGCAGCTATTTTCCGACGGTGGTAAAGCATGAGGTTCTCTGGAACGTTCGTTAGAATCGACGTTGGCGAACCAAAGTGTAAGGTAAGCTTGGTTGTTGGTGATGTTTATTTTGAGGTTTTACTAAAAAACTGTGTAGGCCATTACTGTGCTTGCGTTAGGCACGCACGTAAATAGTTTTCAAAAAGTTTTAAAAACATGACAGCAGCCACAGCCCATTTATAAAACAGCATGAAGCTGCAAGTGAACGTCTCACTGAAGGCTGTGCTGCCGCTGTGAGTCAACACACCATCAAGAAGCACATTAACGATGACTTGTCACATCCAGACAAACGATTTGATGGATGAAACAAAGTGAAAGCCAACGGAGTGCTGCTTTGCAGTGATGCGAAATGGACGAACGTGCGATAAATATTTTTTTAGAATCCACTCCTCAGCAGTCGACAGCAATGAGCCTTGAAAGAATCAGCACAAAGGTGAGTTCACAAAAAACAGTCATTGTTAAATTGCACTGCATTGTTAAATATTCCAATGGCCCATTGACCATAACGTTTGAATATTAAAATAAAAAAAATCTCCCTTTTTTGTCTGTAAAATTGATATAGGCCTAAAACAGTAGTTATTTACCACTTTTCACATTGATATACCTTTACTAGGCCTGTCAATCGACTATTATATCAAATGTGTTTTCCTTCGCCCAATTGTCTAAGCTAACGGATATCGCAAACATTTAACCTCTTTTAAACTCTGACGTTCATATATATGTATGTATATATATATATGTGTATATATATATGTATATATGTATATATATACATATATATACTTATATATATATATATATAAAACATGTAACTATAGATTATTCCTGTTAACATTTACATAATTTAATTTAATCTCCAGCTCTTAGCATTTGCAGCAGTTTAAAGGTTAACCTGTGTTTTCTTTTTAGAAACCTTTAATTCTGTACTAGATGTTTGCTGGTAAAGATAATACAACATCTTTTCATCTTTGACTCTGTAGATCTGTAATACCATGCTGGGAGACACCACGGACAGTTTCCGGTTTAACAACCACCTCATCAGTGCTGCCATGCTGTGGAGCGATCACTCTGAAAAATACAAGATTGCATTTTAGAAATAACACCATGTCCCACCATGAAGGGTTGCTGAGTGATAGCATGAAACTGAGAACTGACCTTGTCATATCTACAGCGAAGTACCAATGCATTTGTGTGGCAGTTAAGACCTTTGTCATCACACCTGTGGTAATGGCAGGAGCTTCTCAAGAAAAGATGACCAATCGACTTTAATCACAAAGTCACTTTTTTTAAAGAATCAATTTGTGTAGTTTTTGTATCCAATGTTTGAAGTACTTTAGCCTTAAAGCTTTGAATTCTGGTGTATACGGGATTGTTTTTTTATGCTTAACATAGGAATCACTGTGTTGTCCTTGATCTGTGTTCAGCGGCTACCACTGACAGACTGCAGCTCCACTTGCACTTTTTTTTTTGCTACCATAGTTTTTCTATATGCTTACTGCTGGAAAATGCCAAAAATGATCGTGGGACGGTGCATGTATACTTGGACTGTAGAAGGAACTCTGGAAAATTACGATTCCAAAACTGTATAAAACGAAACATTACATTTAGCATGCTGCTGTGAGATACAATAAAACTAAGTTAACACCAAGGGCTACTGTTCCTGAGAATGACCAAGTGACTGTCCAAGGTCAGAAAGTTTGATTCCTATAGACCTTATTGTTCAAAACAGTCAGACTCAGAATTTTAGCCAGTCTAGTTTTTATACTCAATTAAATAGTTGGCTTGTTTGAGCTATAAGATGTGCTGTTAATAGCAGTAAATTATGTTAATGAGTGAAAAAGTGTTAATACTGTGTTTTAGATGCTTGTTTTTGGCTAAGGCTAATCTTTCAACAATCCTATCCTCACGTTGTTCTTCTTTGATAAACATTACACTGGTTATTATGCACACAGATATGTATGGTACTTGGACTATAGTATTATTTTATAACAGTATTCCCATTTGACCATGTGTTTACTATATGTGTGTAGTTGTGTGTGCATGTGTGTGTCCACTTGCCCAATCAAAAGTAATTGATTAGAAGTTTCTCCAAACTAAGCTCATTTCACAGAACACTGAGCTTTTCCTTCCTAGGGAGTCAGCCGTCTGTCAGTCACCCATATGCTTTTGTGTCGCTGTATCTCAGCTGTGATGATTCTGTGTGTGTGTGTGTGTGTGTGTGAGAGAGAGAGAGAGAAATGAGACAAGACCGATATTGACTGGCTTTCAAGTGCAAAGAAGAACTGTGGAAAAAAAAAAGTATTTAATCAGTACCCAGAGACCACTGCTCAATCTGCGTGTGTTATAGTGTGGAACAGAAGAGCCCAGAAATCTGTGCATGCAGGTCCTGTCAGCACTCACCTTGCTGATCAAGCTGCACCAGAGTGTGTGTGTGTGTGTATGTGTGCGAGAGTATTATGTACAGTACTGTATTATACTTAATCCACTAACACTCTTAACTGCCAACTTCTGCTGAGCTCTACAAGGCGGAGCCAGATTTCTGTGGCAAGTCCGTCACGTCCAGTGATGCAGCTCTTGGGTAGAAATTAACTTTTTCTGGGCTTCCACCTGCCATGCAGCATGGCCAGAATTTGATACCACTTATTCCTAAAATACCAGGGCTGGCACATTCTGTGTAAAAATCATTATACCATTATGTAAATAATGTGGTGATTGAGGGACAAGTTGTCCCAACCAAGATGTATTTAGTACTGACTATAATTGTTTATATATTTTTTATTTTTATATTTTTTAAGTTAAGTTGTAAGTATATAAAGTCTGCTAATAAATAAATAGAAAAATAAATCGTATTAAATAAGGGTGACCAAATTTAACTAACAATTGACAATTCTAATTTCTTTGTCTTTGGCCCACATTTCGTCTGATGCTAAAAATAAAATAACTAATGCCATTTGTAACAGCAACAATGAATACAGTAATCAGTTCAAAGGTATGAAATTACAACATTGCAAAAATTAAAATTTTAACCCAATAAACACAACACACAACCCTGTTGTGTGTACATGTAGAGCATGTTGGGTCTGACAGATGGCAGATGCCAGTAGCAGACTGGTTTTCTGGCTGCGTCAGTGGTCGTAGCAGGCTTTTATCCCTGAGGCGAAGAACTCTCACATCTTTATCCCAGTGAGCTGCTACAGCCTCAATATGTTTGAAATGTCTGTCTGAAATCTATATCTGGTAAAAGAACAAACATGGAAGTTGAAGTCTTGTCTTGTTGAGAAGGTTGATCATTTTTTCGGCTGCGTATCATCAAAGTCGATCATGTACCTTCATCTCAGGATGTCTCGTGCTATCAATACTTTGGCCAAACTTATCTGACGTTAATCCTGTGATCTGTGGTACTTTTACGACAGTTTCACTCACTCCTTGATCAATAATTCTAAAAAATACGATAACTCAAGGTTGCTGGTACGATACCTTAATATTTTGTATTTGACAACACTGTCCAATATTTTCAGCACATGTCCAAAACAACTCAATCTTGTGTCTCTAAAATGATCTCCGAACTGTTCAGCCTGAGCCTTTCTTCTGGTCCTCGTATGTCTGCCATCCCTGAATACTTTCAATAATTATAATATAATTATTTAATAATAATTTCAACTTTGCCTTGTTTTACCTACAATATCCAAACCATGGATCATAGCAAGTCACTTCCCTTTCTGTCTTTCCCATGCCTTGTAGTCACAGATAACAAGTGACCCTCTTCGTCCATTTCGCCCTGCTTGTACCCTCTTCCTCATTTCATTCCCTCACTTGTGAGGACATCGTCAACTGTAGCTTATGTTTTTCTCTATCATCAAAATGATCTTTGCCTCAATTAGTAAAGTGAAACAGGAAACAAATGTATTTCTTTTCTACCCAACAATCTATTGTTGTTTCCCACCTTTTACCTTTGACTACTGTGGGAAACCCTCATCATTAGCCACTCTGTGTCGACTGTAATGATCTTTGTTATTTTTGTTATACATTTTTATATCGACTTTTGCAAATCAAATTCAGAGTAGAGATCACAGCATGTTCAGACTGTCCAACCTAATGAGCACAGAACAGTCTGATTCTGGCCTAATGGTTCATGCATAAACAGTACTGTCTGCTGACTGAGTCTCAGGATGTGAGGAATGATAACTGACAGATATGGGAGTGCCACGTTGTCTGTAACACAAACAAATTGGCCAGTGAGACTTAATTGTTCATCTCATTGATGTTCCTGAGTGGGAAGAAGTCATACGGCAGTGGTTTATTTGATTAGATTAGATTAGAACTTTATTTTGTTTAATACCACATATGTCAGCTGTCTGTTCTGCAGCTCACAGTTATTTGTAGTACATACCATAGTCTTTCAGCCACTGGTGTGAACCTTTGTGACAAAATGTTAATCTATTCACATTGATTATTTATATTTCTAATGATTTGTTTTATTGTTAATCTAAAGGGTTTGATTTGAATATGGGTTTCTTAAACTGATAAATAAGGACTTTGGTTGAAACACAGAGCAATGTGCAATATTTGTAACTCACAAATATAGTGACTCACTGCTGTACATGCAAGAAAATACACATTTACATTTGTAATACAAAAAAACAGGATGAACCAATTTACTCTCAGATTGACCAATTTAGCGTAGAACATTCTGTTTTTCCTGTAATACACTAAATAGAACCCTGAGCTTGCTTTCCATCTTAGCCATAATCTGGTTGTTATAAATTCAATATATTCCTGCTCCAGAACATTACAGGAAATTATGGAGTTGAGATAGAAAATGGTCTTTTTATATCTCTTAATCACAAATGAAAACAAAATCCAGCAGAGAGGACATGCACTATTGATTTCTACTTCCCATTAAAAAGAAATATATTCTCTCAAAGCCTGTAAGACTGTCCATACAACCGTAGCGTAATACAGTTAATTTGGTTACCCACTATGCATAAGCACTGTCACTGGACATTCCCTGGCAGAAAATGGTTCTAGAGCACTGAACGTATTCTATTTTGTCCCTGGACAGTTAACATGATTTGGGACAGATGTTCCAGCTGGCATAGGTAGAGAAGACAAAACCCCTCCTCACCCACAGCCAACAACAACAACAACAGCACAGCAGAGCAGCATCCATGATGATCACTGTTTCTTGTTTTCCTTTTTCAGAGTCACTGCAGGTGCTATCTGACAGGGAATGTAAGACGCGGCCAAGTCTTATTTCCCAGCAGCACCTGACCGTTGCACATTCTCTCGCCAGGCTAGAAAAAAGACAAAACACATCTGGTACCTGAAGGTGTTAGCAGAATTAGTTTTCCCCCGCAAGATGACTGAAGTGTTCAAACGCCAACCACGCAGGAGCCTAAGAGGTGAGTTACCCTCTGGTGTAATTTTTCATTTTTTGAAATTTGATGAAAACTCTACACCTGCTCCTCCTTCAGATTTACTGTATTTCATTTCCTTTTTAGGGGGGGTTTAAAGTTAGTAAATTGCATTTGTGTTGAGAAATGAAAGAAAATCACTTAAAGTTCAGCAGCCAAACAGAAACTGAAATATTTTCCAAAAAGAGATTTATTCACTTTCTTTTTAATAAAGTCGCAGCTCAGACAGGGGACTACAAAAATCCAAACTAATAGTCTGGACTGTAGAAGGTCTTTCTGTCACTGATTTTTTTTTTCTTTCTAAAAACAAAGAGAAACCTGCTCACTGCTCTGGAGGATTTATTGATATGATGTGCATTGTTCAGAACCAACTGAAAAGCAATAAAAAAAGCATTTTATTTACTCCTGAGAAAATGCACATGGGGCCTTGATAAAGAACCACACCACCTAATGTCCAACTCCATGATAACTATTGATGTTTATAAAGTGGATGAATTGCTTTACAATCAGCAACTGTAGATAAATCGTGACTGTCCAGGTGTGTAGTGTGCAAATATTTTACACAACATTAATTTACCTCAGATTGTTCTGTTGAGGATAATCTACATCTTAATTTGCTGTGTGTCATTTGCCCCAAAGGTCGGTAACAGGTTACAGAAAATTAAATCATAAATAATTGAAAACTTGACCCTAGTGTCCCTGTTTCACAGTAAGGAAGAGAAACTGAGAGTTGATACAAAAAGAGTAAAATGAAATCCTGGCTTTCACATTTAGCTGATGGATAACTACTGCAGAGTTTAAGCTAAGGTTTGTTTTCCTAAACTCAAGATATTTCCTATAAATGATAAAAAGTTAATCTGACTTTATTATGCTAACTTAACTATCATGTGTTTGCTGTGACGAAGCCTTAACTATGAGTTATAAAATATAGATGAGATTTAAACTTATTAACTGCCCCTGAACTTAGAGGTGAAAATCGAAAATGGCACTTTATTATCACTGCTCAGTAGATGAGAAATTACCTCCTGACTGACTGACTGACTGACTGACTGACGTACAGACATCAGGTGGGCGCAGCTGAGTGGAACGTGTCATTAATTAACCTTTTGTGACAGATTTTCAGCAACTCTGCATGACTGAGTAGATGCCAAAACAACAACAATGGAAAAGAGAGAATGCCTGAAGGCATATCATTGAGCTTTACAGCATCATGACAAGGTAATCTAGGCACA